TCAACTATCTGGTCTAAGCTGATTTTGTTGGACTGGTCAGCAGTCAAAAGGGAAGCTATTGATAGGTCAAAGTGTGGATCTTTAGGGGTCAAAATGATATCATTTTGACCCTTCTCCAAATGACATCGTTTTGGCTTTAGGCAATCTACATATAAACTCAAAAAAAAAAAAAAATTTCACTCCATTTTCTTCTCTCTTTAAAAAAAAAAAAGTCTCATTTTTTCCTTTGAACCAAAAATCCTAAGGAGGCCGATCGATCACCAAAGCCCCAGATTCAATCGCCATTCATCGTGCTAGCCATTGCTGATGATCGTTAGTGACTGAAAACTTTAAAAAAATTTAAAAAAATACTCTCATCACTCTCATTTACCTTGATCTAACCTTTTTTTTGCTAAAAAGAGCCTAACTTTTTTAAAATCCAAACAAAACCTTTTGGCTCCATAAAAAAGAAAGCTTTTATTTATTTATTTTTGATGATCTGTCTTTGATGTTGGCACTAGGTTCTCTACTTTTAAGGGACTATTTGCTTTTTTGATTTGGTTTTCATTTTTATGTTGGCAGTGGGTTTTTCTCATTTTTCTTGTTTTCTCTTTTCTAGCAAAAAAAATTTTTTTATGTTGTTTTTTTCTTATAGGGTATCTAGGTAGGGTTCTGAGAAGGTTTTCTCTTTTTTTTTTAGAGTGGTCTGATGAGAGATTTATAGGGCTCCGACCTAGAAAAGGAGGTTGGTGAAGTAGGTGACGGCTAAGGGGATGGTTGTCTTACGTACAAGGTAGGCATGCAAGGTGTAAAGGAATGGTTTTGGGTCTGGTGGCTAGTGCTCATAAGGTGGTTGCAACTACAATGGAGCTCAAGTTGGTAGGTGCAACTACAGCTATTAGGGTAGTTGGCTCACAAGGTTTAGGTGGTGCTTAGGGGTCAAAGGCTGCACCACCAGCCTTTTTGCCCCTTTGTTTTTTGTTTTTTTGTATTTTACTATTTAATTAATTAATTATTATTATTATTATATGATTAATATTTTATTTAATACTAAATTATAAAACTAAATAAATATCAAAATAAAAACAAAGTTAAAAATGAAAAATGAAACAAAAATAATAAATCCTGGCCCAGTGAATGAAATTGGGCCCTGGCCCGATTTTAGAACCAAGGCTTAACTTTAAAACTCAAAGAAATTTGATGTCTACAAGCATAATAGTAAATAAATAAAAATATAATAGTAAATCATTGATAGTTTAGTAATAAATTAATAATTTAGCAATAAATCACTAATAATGTAATAGTAAATTACTAATAACTTAGTTGTAAATTAGTATAATTTAGTAGTAAATTAGTTAACCATTGATAAGTTTTTAGTGAATCATTGATAAATTAGTTGTAAATCAATTATAACTCTATAATAATTATCAGTAACTTAGTAATAAATCACCAACAATTTAATAGAAATTATTTATAACTTAATGATAAATCATTCATAACTTAAAGGTAAATTATTCATAAATTAGGAGTAAATAATTGATAATTTAGTAATAAATCATTGATAACTTAGTAATAAATAAGTGATAACTTAATTATCAATTATTGATAACTTTTTATACTTGAAGTTGCCAAGGATTAAACCTTCGTTACTAGTAGAAATGAAGTCAAAACTTTCATTGTTAGGGCTATGATAAACTTACCATGAACCTATTCAATGAAAAATTAGTGAAAAAATTCTTGAATAAAATAATAACATTATCATATAAAAAGAAAATTATCTCATATATTATTAATGAACTTTTTAAATTCCATATTTCATAGTTGGTAATGCATAACACATTATCAAATCAATGCGAAGTTAATAAAAATTATGTGATAACTTAGTAGTTAATCATTAATAATTTAATAATAAATCAATGATAACTTAATAGTAAATTAGTGATAATTTAAAGTAAATTAGTTTTAGTTTAGTAGTAATTAATTGATAAATTTAGTAGTAAATCATAAATAATTTAATAATAAATCAATGATAATTTAATAGTTAGTTATTGAAAACATATAAGTAAATCAATATAACTTAGTAGTAGTTAATCATAAAAAATTTAATAGTAAATTATGGATAATTTAATATAAATTAATGATAACTTGATAATGAATCATGGTTAATTTAGTAATAAATCTGTGATAATTTTATAGTAAATAATTAAAAAGTAAGTAATAAATCAATGATAATATAATAGTAAAGGCATAATAATATAATAGTTAATTATTGATAATTTAGATGTAAATTTTTATATTGTAGTAGTAAATTACTAATAATTTAGTAATAAATTAGTTAATCATTGATAACTTTGTAGTAGATCATCGATAAATTCACATAAAAATAATTATAACTTTATAACAAATCATCAGTAACTTAGTAGTAAATCATCAACAATTTAGTAATAAATCATTCATAACTTAATAGTAAATTATTCATAAATTAGTAGTAAATCAATGCTAATTTAGTAGTAAATTATTGATAATTTAGAAGTATATCATTGATAGCTTAGTAGTAAATCGCTGATAACATAATAAAAAAAATCAATGATAACTTAATTATTAATAATTGATAAATTCTTTTTATAATTGTCAGGAATTGAATCTTAATTACTAGTAAAAACGAAGTTAGAAAAGAAAATTTATCTTAGAAGATTAGGATAACATATCACGAACCTATTTAATAAAAAAATTTTAGTGAAAAAATTCTAAATTTGAATGAAACAATAATGTTATTATATAAAAAGAAAATTATCTTATACTAAAATTAAACTCATGCTTTCCTGTGAGAACTCATTGTTAAATATATAATGACATAAATTTTATTAATAATTACTAAAAGTATATCATAAATTACCAAAGATTAATTACTAAAATTACATCAAGAGATTACCAAAATTTTATCAATGGATATCAAAATTATATCATAAGTTACCAAACTAATATTGAAAGTTAACTAAATTGTATCGAATGTTATAAAAAATTTATCAAAAGTTATCAAAATTATCAAATCTTACTTATATTATATCAAAATCAAAATTAAATTATTAGTATTTATCATTATTATCGCAGTTTAAAATTTTATTTATTAAAATAAATTTTAAAAAACAAAGATTACATGTGTGTCATGCACATACCAAAAATTAGTTATAATAAAAGAAAATAATAAAAGAAAAATAAAAAATTACACAAATCCTATTAGGTTTAAAATGGTAAAGGTTCAGTTGACAAATTCAAAGTCTAATACAATTCAAGAACACAAAACAAAACCTAAGGCCCAATTAAAAGAGTATAATAGTTAAAAAAAAATCAAAAAACAAATTAGAAGTCTAATTTAACAATTTCAAAAGTCAGATTTTAATTTAATCTCGAACTAGCACAAATTCAAAATTCACTAGGTGATTAGATTAAGGAAAATTAACTTCTGTTTAATTGAAATTGTTTCAAAAAATTATAAAGCTTTTGGATAAAATGAAATATCTATAATACTAAAAATATAAAATTTAATTATCAATTTTATTTTAATCCTAACTTAAAATCAACTGAAAATCAAAATAATTTGATCCAAAAAGAATTCAAATATGAAAGAACATGAATTCAAATAACCCGACTTCGATTTCAGACCAAATATAATTATTTTTCCAATTATAAACTTGGCAAAGGAGAGCTAGCAAGATCTTAAAATATGAGGAGACGCAAACAAAAAAACAAATGACTATTGATTTCAAGGGTTTTTTGAGGGCTTTATGTGCAAGAAGGTGGGTGAATTCATCATAATAGCTAGCAGATGGTTCGTTGCATTCATGGTTGGCCTGCAATTTCCTGCATGAGCAAAATTAAACCCATCTTCTCTCGTGACAGCCCCATTGGTCTGGAGGGCACATGTCATGCTGATGCTCACATCACCTCCTAAAAGCCAAAAGCATGCTTCCAGGGTCCCACTAGACCCACATTATGGGTTACAACATGGGATTATCTTTTGACAAGTGGCAAAAAAACTGGATAAATTGGTGAAACTGAAACCAAATTATTCTTATATTATCATGGTGAGGTTGAAAATTTGAACAAGAAAAGTAAGTTTTTTTTACTAGTACAAGGGTTTTGATGGTGATGGGAGTGATGATAGATGCGCCTGCGCAGCACGCCCTCCTCCCTTTCATCTTTTCACAATCAAAGGAGAATATTATGATGGCTACCATTGCACGCCCTTCTTTCTTTTCTCCAACCAAGATTTTGCACACATTTTCTCATGAAAAATGGAACAACAACCAGAATTTTCGGCAATTGTCACCTCCCAAACCCAAGCAATAATCATGCTATTTTATTTTTATCCCTTTGCCCTTCCCTCTCTCTAAAGACTAAAGAGTTCCATTTTCCTTTGCACCATCATTATCTAACATGCATGCATGCCATCCGCCCTAAGGCTCGGCTTCTGAGAGATCAGCTGACCTTATCTATATATCTATATGCATGTGCTCGGACATGACTTATCCAAAGCATAATTGCCTTTTCTCAATCTTCTTAAAATTGTTTAAATCTTTTCCTGTCACTTTCTTTTTTAAAAAAAAAAATCAGATCCTCTTTTTTATAATATCATTTATGTCAACTTACCCAAAAAAAAAATTATCATATATGTCAAATTTTTTGTAGTGTTGACTTAAAAATTAACGAAAAAATGATAGTATCAATTTATTCAAAAAATGGAAAATTGATACATTAGATAGCATCTGTATTTATACTCTTTTACCAGTCAAGAAAATTACACGTACAATTTTGAAGAATTTTTTGAGTATAAGAATATTGAAGAATTTTAGTGTCCATTCATACACGTAATAAGTTAAAACAGCATATACATATAAATTGGTTTACAAATTCGCATTCAAAGATGATCACGTATGCACAAACTATGAAAGAATATGAAATACTAAGGAATCACCCGACCAAATCAACCTTAGAAATCACAAATTGTCTTTCCCATACACCTTTTATGTGTGATTGCAAAACCCCAGGAGGATTCTTATGGGACTCTTTCTTTTCAGCCTCCAAAAAAAAAATTGTACACAAACTTCGAAAGATTGTTCACAACTCTTTTATACCGTAACCTAATCAAGTAATCATGTTTCTTTTGGAGTTTCTTTGCTACCCTCGCATTTATATTCTCCTTCCATTCTTCTTTTCCACTTCATCCCTGGGGCTTCTCTCTTATTCATTTTTCTCTTTCTCTGGTTCCTTTATCTTTCTTGGGTTTGAGTGAGTTATTTGCTAAGGACAATGGGTGAAATTTCATGCTCTAATGGGATTAACAATGGGAATGGAAGCAATGGGAAAAGCCATTCTTTAACAGGTTATAGAAAGAGCTGCTGGTATGAAGAAGAGATCGAAGAAAACTTGAGATGGTCTTTCGCTCTTAACAGGTAGTATTAAATATAACTATATATACATGTTCATTTATCAAACTTTTTTATTTAATTTATTTTAACATGCATTATTTCCTTTAATTTAATACTCTGAAAAAACATTATCGAAAAAAAATGTTTTCTAGTTATTTGGTAAACTCACTTGGCTAAAATTCATTCATTTTAATACTCTAGTTTTAAAGCTTATTTCTTTTTCAGTTTTCTTAATCCATTTTGTTTTATTTCAACTTCAATCTTGTTGTTTTTCCTTTTTCCTTTTTCATTGTGTTTGTCTTTTTTCATTTTCTTTTTTTTTTTTATAGTTTTTTCTTTCTTTGAGCGTGGAGGGAGGGTGTTGTTTATATTGGCGTTAGGCTGTTAGCAGATATTTTACTGGGAATTTATTTTAAGATAATTAGGATTTTCTAGCAAATTTCATGACAAGAAACATAGATAAAATCATTAGCAGAAGCTTCAAGAAAAAAAAAAAAAAAGAGTAACATTTTTCCGTTGATTAGGGAAAAGGCTATAAAACGTAAAAAATATTTTTTTCTTTTTTTTTTTCTCATTTCTTTCTACCAAAGGCAGCTTAAAAATGAAGGCTTCAAATCCTGGTCCTGAAAAGGCCAGACAAGTTACAAGAAAGTATCTAATAGATTAATCTTTTAATCAACAAAATTCTAACAATTTCATTATTTCAAGAATTCTAGTAATCATTTTGTTCTTCTTCTGTCACAGTATATTGCATACAGCAGCAACAGAGTACCAAGACATCGCCCTGTTGGATACAAAGCCCTTTGGAAAGGTTCATATTTATTTTTACTTTTTCTTTTTTTTTTTTTTAAATTTTCTTACATTTATGTTTTTACCATTTTGGCTCTCTCTGCTAAAATAATTTCTCTTTGATTCATAAAACAGGCACTAGTTATTGATGGAAAGCTTCAGAGTGCGGAGGTGGATGAGTTTATCTACCATGAATGTCTTGTTCATCCAGCACTTCTTCATCATTCAAAGTGTGTACTTACTTTATTTTTTCATATAATTTTTCTTCTTATACGAGTTAGATTATTTTTTTATTGAAATTAAGCTAAATTTTCATGATTTGGGTTTTATCTGATTTTTGTTGTAGTGCAAAGGCCATATTCATCATGGGTGGAGGTGAAGGTTCCACTGCTAGAGAAATACTTAGACACAAGAACGTAGAAAAGCTTGTCATGTGTGACATTGACAAGGTGATATAAAAATAATTTGTTGACTTTTTAACTCAAGTTTTCCCTTCTTTGCTGTTAATATGTTGACTTTTTTTATTAATGTAATTATAAGATAAGATTTGAATGAAATGAATAGTTTTTGACGTGGTGCAACTGTTTTACATAATCTATTTTCACATGATAAAAAAGTTCTTTTCATGATAAAAGAAATTTTAGTTTGCAAAGAAGAAAAAGGATTATATGAAACTTTTTGTCATTTCTTTTAACCGTTTCATATTTATCAATTACCAACCAAAATTTCTCCATCCTAATGAAAATAGAAATTTCTTTTTACACTTTTAAATGATACAAAATGGGAATTTAATGAAAATGGTTCCAAATTGTTGGCACAGGAAGTGGTGGAATTCTGCAAGTCATACTTAGTTGTTAACAGGGAATCTTTTTGTGATCCAAGAATGGAGCTCATAATCAATGATGCCAGGTTCAATTCTGAGTTAAATGTCACATTATTTCAACCTCCAATATTCTAGTTATTTGGTAAACAGCCATGTGATTGGTTGATAAAATATTAAACTTTTAATTACAGTGATCAAGATTCAAATTCAACCTCAATTATCCAAAAAAATATATATTCTAGTTGTTTGCTAGTGTTTTTGTTCTGAAAATCAACATTTGGCATGCAATCCAGGGTCGAGTTAGAAAACAGAAAAGAGTGCTACGATGTGATCATTGGCGACCTGGCAGACCCAATCGAAGGAGGCCCTTGCTACAAACTCTACACCAAATCGTTTTATGAGTTCACTGTTAAGCCTAGACTCAACCATGGCGGCATATTTGTCACACAGGCAAGTAATTCTAATCATGTCTGCGTGGTTATGAATAGCAAAGAGAAGATTAATTTAACAAAGGGCCATTTTCTTCTAAATTTGTAGGCTGGACCAGCTGGAATTTTCAGCCACACTGAAGTATTCTCTTGCATCTATAACACTTTACGGCAGGTTTTCAAATGTAATTAAGTAGCCTCAATCTAACAAATTTACTTTTGCTTTTGTCTAATTAATTTCCTCAATGCCAAAAAGCATGAAGTTAGCTCAGCTCATTTGGTGTAATAATAATAAGAGGTAACGTCACTAATGACCTTTGAATAAAAGTGAAATATTAATATGATATATGAATTACAAATTTACAAATCAATGTAATACTTCAAGAATCGTTAATTAGTCATGTATTATTATCATTTGAAAGTAATGATATTAGACGTAAGTATCACGTTAATTGACAGAATTATAATTCTAGTATCATATTAAAAATTTTTAAAGTTTAGATACATATGAATTAATATTTTATTATAGTCCAAGGGTTGTTTGTGAAATTAACCTTTTTGAGAACTTGCGTGCAGATGTTGTGCCGTATTCAGCTCATATTCCTTCCTATGCTGATATTTGGGGATGGGTTATGGTAAAGCCATCAAATTCTCTTCAACAAATGGAATAACTTGCATTGAATGAATTATATTGTCAACATATTATAAACAATCAACAATCTTTTTTACCACAATATGAGAATTTATACTCTTACATTGGAATTAAAGTTCTTGAAAACGACAGGCTTCAGATTCCCCGTTAGTGCTGAGTCCAGAAGAGCTAGACCTGAGAATGAAACTGAGGATCAAAGGAGAAAATAGATACCTGGACGGGAAAACATTTTCATCAGCCTCTACCTTGAGCAAAGCCGTTCGAAATACGTAAGGCTTAAAAAGTCTAAAACTGATTTGATTTTTATATTGAAATACCCTTTTTCTCTTTCTATTGAGCCAATGATCTTAGTGATTAAAATTGATACATGGAATGGGAAATTTCGCAGGCTGGACAATGAGACTGAAGTCTACACAGAAGGAACAGCAAGGTTCATATATGGGCATGGCAAGCACTGCCAAGAATGAGAAATTAATGGGATAAAAAGGAAGCCTCTATCAGCAAAGTAACAACCATTACACTGCAAGATGCAATCTGCTTGTTTCATTTGTCTCCTAGTATTTGTTTTTTAATCTTGTAATTTATTACTTTATCTTTCAGCTTGCTCATGTAGTTAATATCAAGGAACAATATTATTATAATGTATGGGCATATGTTTCTGTTTTTGTGGCACTTCCCGATATTTTTTGTTTTTTCACTTATGATTCAAATATTGATTTTAATGGGATTTAAATATTTAATATTTGATCTAAATAGAATAGATTTGAATCAAATATTATAATTTTAGAACAATATTTTCTTCAAGCCTGCTTCGAGTGTGAATGACTACCTCTCTACCTGTTTGTCTTTGATGCATAGAGCTTTTTCGCTTTTTTAGTGACAATGAAGTTCAATTCATCGAACTAAACTGAACAAGATTTTCCTGCAAATTGCCAAATGACTGCAGACAATGCCCAAAATTTTCAACATGTTCACATGAAGCTAAAGCCAAAGGATACGTTTAAATCAAATGAAACCATTATTATGTTCTTGAAACCTCGGCAATTTGGTTCTCGACTTGTGTCAAAGAGGTGCATTTATGATCTGAAATTAGAGTGTATGATTAAGAGTTTTATCAAAGCATGTCTTGTATTAATCTTTTAAGCCAGCTATAAGCCTGAATCAATCCTACTAGGATATTTGTCCAACGCCAAAGTGCATCAACCATCGAATTACAGAATAAAAAAATCGGCTGAAGGGTAAAATTGTCTTTGAATTATAACTTAATAATAATTCAAACTCTTAATATTTTATTACAATCAATCAAGTCTTTATGTTCCGTTTATTTCGTAAAAAATAATTTTTGAAAAATAATTTCTAAAAAATATTTATATTTTCTGAATTAAAATTTTTTTTTTGTTATTTGAATGAGTTAATAAAAAATGTTTTTCGTTATTTAGTTGTTTTTTGAAATTCTTTTTTCAAATAATATCAGTATAACTATTAAAATATTAAATTTATTTATTATTAAAATAATTAATATTAAAAAATAATTATATTTTAATAATAATATTTAAAATTAAAATATTATTTTAATATAAAATACTTAAAATAAAACTATTTATGATTCTTTATATTATTTATTAATATATTAATATATTATTTATTAATAATATTTATTAATATATTATATTTGTAGTATATTATTTATTAATATATTTTTATTATAGTTATTAATTAAATTAATAATATTTATTATTATATTATTTATTGATATAATAATATTATTTATTAATATATTATATTAACAGTGTATTATTTATTAATATAATATTATTTATTAATATATTATATTAATAGTATATTATTTATTCATATAATATTATTTATTAATATATTATAATATAATATTATTTATTTATTAATATAATATTATTTATAAGTAAAATTATGCTATAAATAATTCTTCTCATACACAACTTTTTTTCGAAAATTGTTTTTCTTTTTTCAAATCTATAAGATAATTTTAGAAAAATGCCTTATTTTCCATGACCAGTAATTTATTTTTTATTGACCAACTAATTTTTTGTCAAACAAACACTTAAAAATACGAAAATTAATTTTTAGAAGTTATTTTTCACGAAACAAACGGAGCTTTAATCTTCCATTTAAAGTCAATTGAATTTTAATTGGATGAAATTTAGTTATGTGACAAAACTAAATCAATTAATCCCTAAATTATAGTCAATTGAACCCTTGAAGAGATTTTATAAAGAGAGGAGGAGAGAAAATAAAAAAGGAAAAAAACAAAAAAAAAAGAAAAAGTTTATTTTATTTATTTTTCACATATATTAATTATACAATATTGTAAACACTTAATTTTATCTGAGATGATTTTATTTTGTTTGATTTTTATACTTAAATAGAATATTTCATTTTGAACCGACTTAAGCATTTTAATAAAATTAATCTAACTAAGCTTGTTTGAATTTGTTTCAAAGTAATCATTGTTTTTATCATTTTGCATGATCAGAGTATGCTTCGGTTCAATTTTGGGTCAATTCAAAATTTAATCACTTGGACATGAAGGCCCATTAAAAGCCCAAAGTCTAATCAAGAGTCCAAACTCAATTTTAAAGGCCAATTTCATTTTACTAGGTTTTTTTACCCATGCTTCGCATAATTAGGATTTTATACTTAAATAATATATGTGTGTGTATACACACATACATACATATATAAATTTTTTAAATTTTAAAAAGTTTTTTTAAAAAAACAATCTATTCATATTACTTTATTGCAATAAAAATTAAAATAAAAAACAAACTAAATTTTAAAATATAAATCAAAAATTAAAATAATCATATTCAAAATTTTATTTTAAATCATTAAATAATGAAATATGAAACCCTAAATGAAGAGGGATCTACTTATACATGTGTAAAACTAAATTAGTTTTACACCATCTTTTATCTTTTTATATGATTTATATTTGATAATCCAACCATTAAATTTTATGCACTATTCAAATAAAACATGCCTGCCAAATTTCAAGTAAATTTAAAATATATAATTTTTTATGTGCTAATAGTAAAATGGTAATTATTAGTATATATTGAAACGATATTATTCTCAATCAAAATGATAAAAATATTGAATTGATTTGAAATATTATGCGAATGATGGGTACAAATAAGTTGTTAAATTTAATGGTCGGTTTATAAAATTATTTATCATATATGAAGTTATAAAATGGTGTAAAACAAATTAATTTTACACTTGTATAATTTGAGCCCTTTATTAAAATTAATATAATATTTCTATGACTTTTCATATCTCTCTCATTTTCCTAAATTCAATTGTTAGTAGAATATGAAAAATTTTAAAAAAAAACTCATTAAGAAAGATTGAAAAAAAAATGATAATATTTTATAATTTTTCTTTTTTCTATCATTTTAATTTGCTTTAGTGGTAGAAAATTATGAAAGTTTAAGAAGTTGATTTAAACATTTTCTGTCTTTTTAAATCATTAGTTATTAAAATGCGAAACCATAAAAATTAATATTTTAACCTTTCATATTTTACTTTTTACTTCAAATAAATATTGAATTAACAACTTAGTATGCAATATATATACACACACATACACACACATAATTTATAAGCATATTTATTGTTCAGAATCTAATTATGTATATATGCTAACTTTTCATATTCTATTTTTTATGTTAATTTGTTAAAAAGCAAGTAATACTTGCATACATTGAAATTAATATGATGACTTTTCATATTATGACATTTTTATTTAAACTAATTTGTACTAAAAAAAAGATTAAAAAATTCAATATTTGTGTTTATTGTGTGAAAACTTGTAATTACATAAAAATAAATGGAGAATAAATTGTTTTTAGTATATTAAATAAACTAAATAGTAAACATTTTTTATCTCTTGTTTATGTTTGTATTTTTTAAAACATATGGTATCACTAAAAGCTCATATTTTAATGGATCGATTTAAAAAAAAAAATTAAAAGAATCATTTTCATTAACTAAATAAACGTGTTGTCTAACAAAATATTATTTTGAGAAGAAATCTAAATAAATGAATAAATACATTTAGATAGTCAAGAGCTCTATTAATTTGACATTAAACCTTTAATATTAATTCTTTGTGTTAATGTTATGAGTGGTCCCTGAATTATAGTAAAATATTCAATGTGGCACCTGAATTTTAAAAATCTCTAATTAGGTACTTGAACTATAAATTTGTTAACTAATATGTTATTCACCCTTAATATAGTTAACTCTAAATTATGAGATATGGCACACAAACAACCCTTCAAATACCATATTAGTTAACAAATTGATAGTTTAGATACAACATTAGAGATTTTTAAAGTTCAAGTAAATATTTCACTATAGTTCATAAATCATTTTTAACATTATCCTTTTTTTTTTTTGTATGTACCTAGAAGTGGAAACTTATATGAAATTTCTATTGTAATGATTTATCTTTCAAAACACATGCATGCTAATTACCATGGTTTCAATAGTGGGATAAGATTGATCAATTTTCATTAAATCCTTAATATTTTATCAAGTACATACATATCTTCTTATACTTTTTGTAACCTTTAAATTAAAGATCTTGATAATGATGATGACATGTGCATGTAGCCATCAAGATTAAGAGAAGGGTAAGTTTTCATATCTTTAGATTAGATAGATTTTCACTTTACTTTTTGTATATGTGTTAGTTTCAAAAATAAGATTTTGAAATGAAAATGATAATTTCATTATTATTTATAAATTATCATTTAAAACCAATATTTTAACCAATATATATGAAACCAAAATGACAATTATGTTATTATGAACCATCATATTAAATGAAGTAGATATTAAATTTATTTATTTATTATGTTATTTAATCTTCAATATTCATCTCTTTTTTATTTTTTTTATTTTTTTATAAAGTAAATATTGTAAAGTATGAAAGTTGACAAGAAATTTACAACTAAACTTATTAATAGATAAATAAAGTTATACCTTATGTCTTTTATACTTATGTTTCAATTCCAAGTATTGGATTTTTTCAGCATTCATGGAAGCTTATTATTTGTTAGACTACAAAAAGAGTGCACACCATCTCCTATCCCATAAAACTAACTCTTTCTACGCATCTCAAACTTTCAAATTTTCTAAATGTTAAGATGAACATTTTCTTGAGACTTAAGTTAGTTATTTTATGTTACATTACAGTTATTGATTATTCATTAGAAAAAAAATTGTTGATTGTTATAATTACTATAAAAAAATATAATAAAGTGATATCCATGTTGGAGACTTTTTTATTATTTTAGATTACTAATAATTTAACTTATACCTATGAATTTGCAAAAAGAATGCAAGGTCATTGATGATATGAATAATATGAATAATTAAAGATTTATAGTTATAAAAATATGAGAAAGTATATTTTTTTCCTTTTTTAGATCCTAAAATTAATGAATCCAAAACAATTAAATTAAATTGCATAGTGATTTCATGAATTTTTTTTTTTTAAATATGATTTGAGAATGATTTGAGAAGGTTTAATTTGACAAACAAATCAAACAGGTGATTTTAGATTATGGAGCATATCACACGTAATAAGATGTAAAATTTATTGTAGATGCAGTTCATTGTATATTTTTTTATATTTGATGCATAAAAATT